TTTCCTGCTTTGTCCAGTTGTTGATTACAACTCCCCACTCCCCCCCATGTCTGAATTTTCAGGAAAGTAACTCAACTTCCACACCCATGGCCTCCACTCAACTTTGCTACTTCCAAAGCCTCCTGAGGCTTCTGCTGTCCTTGCCATGGTGCTTGTCTGGGCTAAGAGAGCTCAGCCCCTGCTCCCTTTGCTCTGGGTACCCACGGGATGGTCAGAGGTCGCTGGGTTTGTGGTCTGCATAGAATGGTGCTGGCCAGCTGAGGCTGCTATAGCCCTACAGCCAGAGAGATATATTAAAGCAGGCCCTGCAGGGAGCAGGCCACAGAGCACACCTTCCCTCTGAGTACACAGTCTGAGCAAAGGCCCTCACGTGACAGGGTTGCAGACCTAGGTGTGAAGGTCAAAGCATCTGGGCTTCATTATAGTGTACTCTACTTATGTGTATATTTAAGTATTTCCCAAATGAAAAGTTAAAATGCTTTCCTTTTTGGACAGGAAGTAGGGTGTCTTGGGGCAGAGGAGGGGTGGCAGGGTAGAAGCCCTCATGAGTGCAGGGCCTGCTAGTTGTCCAGGGGGCCACAACTGGGGCTGCATGTGACCCCACTGCCATCTGGGTTGAGCTGCTTCTCAGCCACTGTGGCTCCCAACTCATTTGTGGTGAACTTGGTAAAGACCAACTTCTTTGAGTTGTGCATCTTCTGGCAAGAAGCCTGAACTTGGCCAGAATAGGGCCTCAGCGACAGGTGCCTTGTTCTGCAGCTTGGTGCAGATAGACACAATAACCTTGTCAGTGTGAACCCTGGCCACAGTGCCCTGGGGCTTACCACAGGCACTGCTCACACCTGCCTGGTGCTTGGTGATTCACCGTCCTGAAGGGCTAGAGCCCGCTTGGACTTGAAAGGCATCTTTGCCACAACTCTTATCACATGCTTGGTGACACAGATGGGGGCAGAGCTATGGCTTCAGAGAGCTGCTCACCAGGGTGGGAACTCATCTAGTTTTGCCATCTTCTACCCAAGGTCAAAAATGTGAATCTTGGTATCCAGGACTACCTGGTGGAAGTCAGACTGGGTATGACTAATAGTCTGTTTTTTTGAGACAGTCTCATTGCGTCGCCCTCAGTAGAGTGCCATAGCGTCACAGCTCACAGTAACGTTAAACTCTTGGGCTCAAGTGATTCTCCCAAGTAGCTGGGACTACAGGCGCCCACCACAAGGCCCAGCTATTTTTTTGGTCATAATTGTCATTGTTGTTTGGCAGGCTCGGGCAAGACCGCCAACCTCGGTGTATGTGGCTGGCTCCTACCCACTGAGCTACGGGTGCCCAAACTTAAAATGATTGTCATTTAACTACTGTACACACGTATACAGTAAACTTTAGGCCTACTGACAGAACAGCAAGCAAAAAGTAAGATTCTGCAAAGGAACAAAAAGAAACACAGCCATTGACTTATGAGAAGGCACACCAAAAAGGGGCTTCAGGCGGGGCGGGAAGAAAGGGGCCCCGCTCAACAAGGAAGTCTAGAGGGCCCATGAGAATGTGGGTATGAGGTGACCAATGACCAATAGGCAAGAGCACTAATTCCCAGAGGGCAGAGGCCAAGGAGGAGTTGCCACCATTTCCAACTCTCTCACGTCCTCTCTTTCATGAGGGACCCATTTCCAACTCTCTTTGGAAGTACTCTAAACTTTCCCTTTGTTGTTCCTTACTAACATCTTTTTTTTTCTGAGACAGAGCCTCAAGCTGTCCCCCTGGGTAGAGTGCTGTGGCATCACAGCTCATAGCTACCTCCAACTCCTGGGCTCAAGCGAGTCTCCTGCCTCAGCCTCCCTGGTAGCTGGGACCGCAGGTGTCCGCCACAACGCCTGGCTATTTTTTGGTTGCAGCCATCGTTGTTTGGCGGGTCCGGGCTGGATCTGAACCCTCCACCTTAGGTGTATGTGGCTGGCGCCTTAGCCACCTGAGCCACAGGCGCTGAGCCTACTTTTGCTTTCTGTTCCCACTGCCTGTGCTGCTCTAGTTGTATTTTGCTTCCATGCCTCCACTGAACTCAGTAACTGAACCAGGGCAACTGTGTTGGGGGAACCGGGACCCCTGGCTCCCAGCAAATTACATGTGCTGATACCTTTTCCAAGTTTATTTCTGCAGCTGTTTACCACTTGGTGTTACGTCTTCACACACATTCTATAATATTCAGGATAAAAACAATTTAGAGTGGTATTTGGACCCAAATTCATTACAATCAAAATTATTTCAAGTAGCTTTTATATTCTTCCTTTTAACAAAATGCTGCTCGCAACTGGGACGAATATAAAAGTTATTACTTTGCCACTGGTGGACTCTGCAGCTTGTGCTGGGCTGTGCCCGCTGTGGCCCAGACACAGCCAGAGGGCAGCAAGGTGGCTGTGCTTAGGGACAAGCCCACCTCAACTGCCTCTGGCTTCAGACCTGCTCTGCTTTGTAAGGTCACCTCCCGTCAGAGTTTGAAGACATCTTTTACAATGCATTTCATTTACATTTTAAATAGACTTCCAGAGGAAAAGCTGATTCTAGTCAATGTTAAAAAAGTGTAATTTTTGCCACCTTCCTTCAGACTGAGTGTAAATGACTTAATAAATGGCCACAACTGTGACCAAACTAAAGGCAGAGGAAGTATCTATACTGACTTTTCAAGGTATGGAGAGAGTAGGATTTAAACTACGTACACCACGAAAAACTACCACTAATTCACCCAAAATTATCTGCCCACCACTAAAAAAAAAAGAAAATTTCAACAGCCCAAACCTGATCAAAACCAATGTTGACTCCATAGACTCACGTTTTAGAATGTCCTCACATAAAACACCTAGTAATGATTTCAGGTGGTCACTTGGAACCACATCCTGGTTTTGGACACAGGTGGGGCAGGCACTGAGCAAGTCAGTAGCTACAGCTATCACCACAGTTACCTCTCAACACACAGAACGGACCACTCACATCTTTAGAACAAACTAGTTCAGGGGAACTAACACCAGACAGAAAAGCTTTACTTATTTTGAGAGTCTTATTATATATCACCCTCAGTGGAGTGCCATGGTATCACAGCCCAAAGAAACCTCAAACTCTCAGGCCCAAGCAATCCTCTTGCCTCAGCCTTCCAGTAGCTGGGATTACAATCACCCAACACACCTGGCTATTTTTTGGAGGTGGGGTCTCCTTGCTCAGGCTGGTTTTGAAATCCTGAGCTCAAGCAATCCACCCACCTGGGCCTCCCAGTTTGGTCTTACAGGCGTGAGACAGCAAGCTGACCCTCAGACAGAAAGGTTTTTCTTTTTGAGAGTGTTACTTTGTCACTGTGGGTAGTACTGTGGTGTCATAGCTTACAGCAACCTCAAACTCTTGGGCTCAAGTGATTCTCTTTGCCTCAGCCTCCCTAGTAGCTGGGACTAGAGGTGCCCACCACAGCGCCTGGCTATTTTTTGTTTAGCAGGCCTGGGCCAGGTTCGAACCCACCAGCCCAGAAGCCTGTGCCACTGAACTACCAGCACCCAGACAGGTTTTAAAGGTGGATCTGCATTACAGGGCTCTGTGTCTACTGGCATTAGTAGTTTAAAGGACTGGCCGTTAGCAATACCGTGATGTGAGGAAAAGCTGGCTCTGGACGCACTGTGCAGAGCACACTCCTATCTTCCTGCCACTCACATGTTAAGAACACATTGTGCTCTTCAAGGAAATCTGGCAAACTCATGACAGGCAGGGTGTAAGGGCCTGTGATCCTAGCACTCTGGGAGGTCAACATGGAAGGACTGCTTGAGCTGAGCTTCAGACCAGCCTGAGCAAGAGTTAAACCTCATCTCTAAAAATAGCAGGGAGTTGTGGTGAGTGCCTGTAGTTGCAGCTGTTTTAGAGGTTGAGACAGGAAGGCGTAAGCCCAGGGATTTGAGGCTCTGTGAGCTAGGCTGATGCCATAGCTAGCACTCTACCCTGGGCAATGGTGAAACCCTATCTCCAAATAAATAAGTGAATAAATAAAAAATGGAACAACAAAACCTCACAGGCAAGAAATATATGTGTGTGTGTGTGTGTATATATATATATGTTTGTTTTATTTTGTTACCCTCGGTAATAGCTCAAAGCAACCTCAAACTCTTATGCTCAAGCTATCCTCTTGCCTCAATCTCCCACGTAGCTGGGCCCACAGGTTGCAGCTGTCATTGTTTTTTTGGCGGGCCCGGGCTGGATTCGAACTCGCCACCTTAGGTGTATGTGGCTGGCACCTTAGCAACTTGAGCCACAGGCGCCGAGCCTCAAACTATCCTCTTGCCTCAGTCTCCCATGTAGTTGGGAGTACAGGTGCTCACCACCACACTCAGCTATTTCTAAGGATGAGGCCTTGCTCTTGCAATCCACCCACCTCCAGAGTGCTAGGATTACAGGTGTGAGCCACCACACCGGCCTAAGAAACGTGTATTAAAGGAGTTATATCCAAGCATTTATTTATTAACTAGTGAAGGAGACCACAACAGGATCTGCATCACTCAGCAACAAGTAGATAACAAGAAACATCTTTTTCATAATTTTCCCTCACCCAGTATGTATTTTAATTTCATTCCCCAAGTTTATTTATTTTTACTTTTTCTTAAGATAGAGTCTCACTGTTTCCCTGGGTAGAGTGCTGAGATGTCACAGCTCACAGCAACCTCAAACTCTTGGGCTTAAGCAATTCTCTTGCCTCAGCCTCCCAAGTAGCTCGGACTACAGGTGCCCGCCACAATGCCTGGCTGCTTTTGTTGCAGTTGTCAGTGTTTAGCTGGTCTGGGCTGGGATCGAACCTGTCACATTTGTTGTATGTGGCTGGCACCATAACCACTGTGCTATGGGAGCCAAGCCTATTCCCCAAGTTTAAAGGTATGATTTCACTTATACTTTCAAAGTTCATAGATGAACTGATAACTGGCAGGTTCATAAAGGAAAAGAAATTACAAACAAAGAAATTTACACAAGAAATGTCACATCAAGAATACTGTATCACTACAAATTTTATTCACAAACTCATCTTTGTGGGGTTTTTTTTGTTGTTTTTTAAAAAAAATTCCCATTATGAACTGGTTTGGTCAATCAACTACAACACTTCCTAGCAGACATGGTAAAAATGGCTCGGCTCAGAATCGCCCAGATCTTTCACGGTCTCGTGATCGCCTCCGGTCTCGTTCCCGGCCCCCACCACCCCCACCGCCTCCGCCACCACCACGACCACGGTCTCTAGACCGAGAACGACGCTCCCGGGACCTGGACCTCGACCTATGCCTAAAACCAAGAAAAAGAAAGAAAGCTGTAGCATCAATACAAAACAAAACCACAATTACCAATATACTGAGATACTACATCTTGTCAAACTGATGCCAACAAAGAAAAAATTGTTGCCAATTAAACTGCAAGCCATCACTTGTGAGATGTACCTTGATTTGAGATTTTTTTTTTTTTGAGACAGAATCTCACTTTGTCACCCTTCATAGAGTGTTGTGGCGTCACAGCTCACAGCAACCTCAAATTCCTGGGCTTAAGCAATTCTCTTGCCTCAGCCTCCGAAGGAGCTGGGACTATAGGAGCCCACCACAACACCTGGCTATTTTTTGAGACCAGGTCTTGCTCTGGCTGGTCTTTAACCTGCAAGCCCAGGCAATCCACCCACCTCAGCCTCCCATGTGCTAGAATTGTAAGTATGAACCACCATGCCCAGCCTTGATTTGAGACGTTCAAGTTTGAGGCAAAAAACCAAACATCTTAAAACTGAATAGGTATGGTATCTTCAAACTTCTATATCTTCTAGAACCAACTTAAATGACCACAGGGAATCCTGATGAAAACATGAACTGAACATACACCAAACTTTCCCCTCACCTGGAAACAGGCCCGGCCCGCAGGTGCTCATTAGCTACTGTGTCCACTAGGCGGACTTTTGGGATGGAGAGAGCGGGGTTGTTTTTCTCCTATACTCTTGTTGACAGTAAGATAGAATCAGCAGTGTGTGTCTCAGGAGAACTGTGCTACAATCAGAACTCCATCCAATTACCAAGCACAAACCACACTCTTAACACCTTGATTTTCCCTGCTCTGACATGAGGGTCAGGAATTTAAATGCCCGACCAGACATACACGACCACTGTGCCCACTTCTGCCAGTGTTTTGAAGATACCACTAATCTGCCCCTAAATCAAAAGAAGTCCCAGTGGGCATATGCAGTATTTAAAGGAAGTTATGTTACCTGTCAGGGAGAGAAACTAATAAATATTCAATTTCTTCATTAACCTAATTTTAATGGTTACCCACTTAACCACTTGCTTAGGTACCAAGGTTTGATCTCTACTGGAGAAATAGGGCAATGAAACTGTTATCTGTGAGCAGGCTAATATTCTCCAAAGCACACATTTTTATATTTTAAAATATGTACGATGTTCTAAGCAGTGCTTTTATTATAAAATAAAAAAAAATGATATCTCTGCCATTTTTGTTCTCCTAAGGGCAATAAAAGCCACCAGGCATGACAACAGCTACCCCGGGTACTCACTTCTTGCGACGGCGACCATACAGCTCACGCCGCAGTTCTCTGGAAATGGGCTTTAAATGCATGAAGTTACAGAAGCCACCTCGCGTGCACTCTCTGTGGGTCAAAAGCAGAGCTCATCACATCATGCACACAGGTCCCTGGACTGTGCTCAGCCACTATGGCGGCTGCATCCACTTGTCCCACACTCACCCCATTTCGTACTGACGACAACAGGCTTCTCTGAAGTCCGTCACGGGTGACAGCTCAGCATGGATCGGCTGTCCATTAAACCAACGGTTATTCAA